AGTCTCTTTTTGTTTCTTTTTGATTTATAAGCCAGGTCTCTTTGTATATTTATATTTTATACCTATTGATATTTTTATATTGTTAGTTTTAGTATAAAAAAATTGTTTTTCTGTTTTCAGGTTTTGTATAAGGCTCCCGTTTTCATGTTCCTGCCCCCGTTTTCTGTCCCTAATGGCTGTGAATACGTGTATTTATTTACAAATTACTGTAAGTCATGCTTATACCTTACTAATTTACGTTAAAATTGCATATAATTAAGTAATTGCTTTAGACATCATTCAATTCTTTATTTTTTATATTTATTTAGTCACGTTGTCTCATATTTCAAATAAATATGTTTGAATAAAATTTTGTTTTGTTTTATTTATGATAAGAAAGAGTACAAAATACATTTACACTAAAAGAGGCCCGCCATTGAATAACCGGAAACGGAAATAAAATGAAGCCATCATGTCAACCTGTCAATTGGAAAATTAGTTCTCCAGACGACAACGAAGGCTTTCGGTGGCAAAAGATTATTTTATGGTATTAGCAGCATTCGCAGTTCCTTGTTTTGAAAGATGTTCAAAATATGCCAGGAGAATCTTTTCGTTACTACTATTCTTGATTCCTTTCCCTTCACACCAATCTTCAAGTTTTACATAGACTTGCTCGTACGTTTGTCTTGATTTTTCGGGAAGTAGGGAATCGACAACGTTTTGCGCAATGCCTTCAATATCCGAAGGGACACTTTCAGAATCAGAATCACCTTAATATGGGTGATATAGTATTTTTTGCTTTTTGCTAAAACTGAACGTTTAACACAAAATTGAACATCAATAATTGAGTTGTCAAAGTCAAAATGGAAACAATCAACAAGCACGGTTACCACGGCGCGGCGTCGACTAATATGGGCACCTGATAATTTTGAATTTTAATTTTTATGAGGAAATCTCTGATATTTTAAATTAAATCAAATCTTTTTGGATCATCCCTCGTGTCGCGTCGTAGATTAAATTTTGAATGATACACGTTCGATACGAACTTTTTAATGAAACTTGTGTAACTAACGTTATACGCGTTTCATTATGATGTTCGTATCGAACTTGTGTCATTAATAACTATTATATATTTCGTAATTATTAAATTTGTTGTTGAAGCTATACCTAGTAGCTGTTGCATCAATTGGTAATCCCAATACTTTGTCTGCTTTTAGCTCTTCGATTAGCTTCTGGTTAGCAGCACTATGCGTTTGCCATTATGTGCTGCTGACCGTGAATTAACCTGTAGCATGACAGGATCTGGCTTCGCCTTTAGACGAAAATATGTAGGTGGTAAGTCTCAAGCAAGACTTCCATCGCATTTTGGAGTGGGTTTTTATGTAATTTGAAGTTACACACACAGGCACGCAAGCCTTTGTGTGGAACTTAACAGCCTTACCGCACCCACTTGCGATGTCTTTGTCCACCACGCCACCGACCCGTAGGTTATCATGGGTCTTACTACCCTTGTGTATAGCCATAGAGTCATTTTAGGGTTAAGTCCCCAGTTTTTTCCACACATCCTTCTGCACCTACCTAAAGAGATGGGAGCCTTCTGTGTTGCCTTCACTATATGAGTATTCCATGTAATAAGTTGTTAATAGTAATACGACTGATATGCGACTGATAATACGACTGATACGAATACTGATATGGACACCTGATAATTTTGAATTTTAATTTTTATGAGGATATCTCTGATATTTTAAATTAAATCAAATCTCTTTCCCTAGTGTCGCGTCGTAGATTAAAAAAAAACAACGCTTTATTGTACAAAAAGCCGAAACAGCTTCATCGACAAAGCAAAACAAAAAAAAGCACAAAAACAAATATACAAATAATAAAAAAATGTCATACAATACAAATCAATTCAAAAAAAATTTACGTCATAAAATTATAAATAAAACATATATGGACATTGCAGAACACAGGCGTATCTAGAAAATTTTACAAAAGGATAACTGTAAATGGATAAAATCATGTTATAATAACATAAAATCAAGGGTTATAAAATATTAAATACTAGACCTTTAACCAGTGTGTGAGATGATCAAAATATTAAAATTAAAATTCTAAATTGTTCATGATTAACCATCAACAAAAAAGTGGTTTACCGCATATAGGGCTCTCTCCAGTAAGTATGATTTCAGAGCTTTGCGAAATGCGGGAAAGTATGAAGTGACTTGATATTCGAAGGCAAATGATTGTACATTTTCTTGGCATTGTACAATATTGAGCCCTTAACTAGTTCTGAGCTCGGGGTTGGCAGATAAATATCGTGCTCCGCATTCCTAAGTAGATAGTTGTGAGAAGGCCTTTCCGGAATAGAGAATATGTGCTTGCGGATTAAGCAAACGGATTCAAAAATTAATAAGGAAGGAAGAGTCAGTATTTTGAAATTTTTAAAGAAATTCTGGCAGTAAGTTCTACTGTTTAGTCCCAATAAGTATCGAACTGCTCTCTTTTGAAGTTCGAAAATACGATCAAATTTTGTCGCGCAGCAAGTACCCCAAAATGGAAGGGCATAACGAAGATGCGACTCAAAAAGGGCATAATAGACCATTCTAGAGGTTGATGAGTTACGTTCCTTAGAAACTGATCTTAGCGCAAAACAGGCAGCGCTTAGTTTCTTTGATAAAGCTTCGATGTGCAAGTCCCATTTTAACGAGTTGTCTACAACAAGGCCTAAGAATCTCACATAGTCCACGACGTCAATAGTGGTGTTATTAAGTACAAAAGGTTGTATAGTAGTTTTATATACAAAAGCCAAAGCAATAAGACTCTAAGTCTCGGTCTCAACATTAAATATGATAAAAATTAAATTGTTACACGTGTTTCGCTCACACGAGCATCATCAGACAAATTTACAGAAAAGGTCACATAGGTACTTTTATATGACAAAACTTTAGTTTTTGAAAGGTTGAGGCATAGGAGATTAGAATCGCACTAAGATTTAATGGTGCGTAAGTCACTGGATATAGTATTATATAGTGCCGTAACATCTGGGCCGCTCCAAGTGAAACTAGTATTGTCCGCAAAGAGGCAGATTTTAGCTCTGTCTAATGCTAATGTCTAGATTTGCAATGTCGTTGATAAACACCAGAAACAAACTAGGGCCAGATACTGAACCCTGAGGGACACCACATTCTATAGGCTTACAAGAAGACATAGACGTATCAATCCTCACAAGCTGCCTTCTGTTTCTTCCAAGATATGACTTAAGCCATTCGAGCGGCACTCCCCTGAATCCATAGTATTGCAATTTGTTAATTAAGATATTATGATTTACACAATCGAAAGCCTTAGAGAAATCACAGAAAATTGTAGCTGTAGAGTGATGGTTATTCAGGCTAGAGTATACATTATTAAAAAGGTCGAACATAGCATCATTTGTGCAACTGTTACTTAGAAATCCAAATTGATGGGTAGTAAGTATTTTATATTTAAGGAGAAAAGATAGAAACCTTTTTTTAACCAATCTTTCAATGATCTTAGATAATGTGGGCAGGAGTGCAATTGGGCGATAGTTCGAAGCTTCATCTTTATCACCTCCTTTATACAGAGGAATAATTATTGCTGTCTTAAGACAGTTTGGAAAAACTCCTTTTTGGAATGACTCGTTAATTAAAGTAGTAAGATGGTTTAATGTGCATTCAGGAAGTTCAGAGAACATTTTGAGAGTAAGCCCATCAGTCCCAGATGAGAATTTATTTTTAATACTTTTAATTGTACTACGGAGCTCATCTAATGCTACGGGCGTGAAGAAGAAACTGTGTAAATTCTCATTTGCTTTAGGGAGATATGAAAGTGAATCATGAGAAGGAGTTCACTAAATTTTTAGCCACATTAACAAATGAAGTCGAAAAAATTTAAAGTTTAAATTTTGAATGATACACATTCGATACGAACTTTTTAATGAAACTTTTGTAACTAACGTTACACGTGTTTCATTATGATGTTCGTATCGCACTTGTATCATTAATAACTATTACATATTTCGTAATTATTAGAAATATTACCTAGAATATGTCCAAAAATGCTAGTTGTATAATATCTAGTACTAAAATAATTTTGCTTCAATTTCGACAATACCATATACGTAACAACAACGTGTCCTTGGAGCGTTTTTAAGATTTACAACGGCCCAAATAGCTCGGGTCGTTAAGGACTTAAGACATTTTTTTAAGTATACAAACGTGTAAAGTCCACAAAAGCGTCCGACATGACGCTGCTCGAAATTCCAATTAAATATTATGTAGACAAACAGGCCGTTTAAAAGAGACGTGTGTGAGTCGGTCTCGACTCAAAGGCACTGTCAATATTTGCCCACACTTCCTGTGCCAACAGACTGTGACAGTCATTAAGATGCGACAAATCCACCATAAAAGTATCAGACGAGGTCGCGCTTTGCGATACTTGGTGATGATTTGCAAAGTCTGGATTAAATAGCAGTGCACTGAAAAAATTAATTTCTGAAGTTAATAACAATATTGAGGGTTATTTCTTGCCACAGATTATTGTAGTAAATTTACCATCTGTTCTTTGGGTTGGGAGTTTAACTTTATTTTTTTTTTCCAAAGCAACTGTTAAAATTGCCTTATCTATCAAAAATAGTAGATAAAATAGTACTTTAACCACAAGGGTAGATTAAATGATACTTTAACAGCGAGGATAGGTTAAAAACTTTATTTCTTCTCGCACGTTTTTTAATTGCTTCCATTTTTGAAATTTTTGTATTCCTTTTCATAAGTTATTCGGGATTTAAATGAAAGTAGTTTGGATATGGCGTTTGTCGCCTCAGCCTCGAATATATATATATATATATATATATATATATATATATATATATATATATATATATATATATATATATATATATATATATGATCGGTTTAAAACAAACGTCTGCGACGTTGTCCGATGTCTTCCGATCTTCCACGTCTTCCGATCGTTCCATTGTCCCTCGCTTAGATTTTCTGCTAAGCACTCATTGCTCTTGTGACACCCTCCTTCCAAGTCTTCTTAGGTCTTCCACGTTTTCTTCGATGTTGGGGTATCCATTGCATAATTTGTTTTGGAAGTCGTGTGTCATCCATTCTCTGGACATCTCCGTACCACATAAGTTGTTGGCGTTCGATGTCGGTTGCCAAAGATCCCTCTATTCCTATCCTCTCTTGGATTTCTTCGTTTCGGACTCTATCTCTTCGGGAAATTCCTAAGGTTCTTCTATAGGCATCCATTTCTACCGCTTCCAGTTTTTTTCGGTTGGCTTCCGTTATTCGCCAAGTCTCTGCACCATAAAGTAGACTGCTCTTTACCAGGGTCTGGTATATATTGATCTTCCGTTTCTTCCCTGCTTCATTACTCCAAAATACTCCATTCAGACAGCCAATTGTTCTTCTAGCTTGTGATATTCGTTTTTTAATGTCTTTGTCATCTTTAGCTGTTCTATCAAATATCACTCCTAGATAGGTGTAGTCATTGCAGGCTTCTTTCTATCTCTTCATTTTCTAGATGTACGCTAGATAGTTCTGCACCAATAGGTAGATATTTAGTTTTTCCTGTATTTATTTCCAAACTCCATCGTTGATATTCCTCTTGTAGTTTCCTTGTCATGTACTCCAAATCATCTTTATCGTTGGCCATAAGAACTTGATCATCTGCGAACTGCAGGGTATATAGACAGGTATGTCCCAAATTAATGCCCATTCCATTACATTTTCTCTTTCATTGTCTCAAGGCCTTTGCTACATATATTTTAAATAATGTGGGAGAAACACAACATCCTTGTCGTAGATATTTATTGACAAAGAATCTTCCAGGTAATGTGTTGCCTATTTTAATTTGTGATTTCGATTCTTCGTACAAGTTTTTCAGAGTCCTAATTAAGGTATAGTTAATGTTGGTGTCCTGTAGTACCTTGAATAGTCTGTTAACTGGAACGGTATCATATGCTTGTGAAGGTCAATAAACATGAGATGTGTCTCCTGATCAATACTACTTTACTTTTTTCTCTATTAGTTGTTTCCTCAGACAGAAAATATTATCGGTACAGGTTCTCCCAGTCCGAAACCAGATTGTTCCTCCTTGTTGTTGGTATTCCTGTTCTATTAAATCTCTAAGGATCCGTCCGTATAATCGACTTTAGGTACTTGTTACTCGATATACCTCTATAGTTGGAGCACAATTTATTTATTTCCCTTTTTGTGGATTGAGGATATATAGACGATTTTCCACTCTTTTGGTATTGGGGCGCCGTTCAAGAATCTATTTATACACCAGGTTAAGGCTTTAAATAGTTTTTCTGTTCCACATTTTACCAATTCACCTGGAATATTCTCCGGTCCCGGGGCTCTGTTATTTTTCGTTTGCGGTATGTCGATGTTAATAACTTCTCCGGAAATATTTATCTCTGTGGGTGATATTGTGGCGTATTCCTGCCTATTTTCCGTTAAGAGTTCTTCGTAGTATTTCTTCCATTTATTCATTGGTATTAATTGTAGTTTGGCCGTCTGTTTTTCTGAGGTTTTGACTTGGTTTATGAATATAAATAAACCAAGTCAGCCTGAATATCTGTTGGTAATTTACTTATTTCGTTTTGAGCCATTTCTGGCTCCAATTCAATCAGCAATCGACACGAAAGAGAATTAAAAAATATTGACTCAAAACTGACAACTAAAGAGACAGCTTTGTATATTTTTGTCAAATTACATAGAAACCAACGCCAACCCAGCACAATATTTGTTCTACTCGTAATAAATTCCTTGAAAAAATAATTTCTGAATATTTTTTAAAACGGAAAAAAATATTGTTTTTACACGACGATAAAATTGCATTATCGTCTCCCGAAACTAATTCACTCGCGCTTTCATCGTCGACGATAAAATGGCATTTTATCGTCTTGTATAAAAAATAACTTAACTCACAAAACTTATTGTGAAAATAATATCGTTTAGTAGTAATCATTTAATATTAATAAACTGGTTTTGTAAAATCACATTTTTTTTGTGAAATTATGCAAAAATATCTTATTTTTACAAGTTTCTTATTAAAAATACTCAAATATATTAATATTTTTTTGTAAAATTAGTTATATATTTTTCAGTGTGGCGCTATATAATTCAATACTCGAGGGTCCACTTTTAGAGCTATCGAATTTTAATAAAAAAACACGTTTTGGAATAAGCAAGAATATTTAAAAGTTAGTTTTTAGTTAGTTAGTGGTTGGGATTGCCAGTCTACAAAAATGGGACTTTTAAAAATGAATAGAAAAAAAATCGAAATTAATCCCTTGTTAAGATTTTAAGATGCTCCAGTTCGAGCGCTTGAGACAGGAGCATGCTTCCGGTTCCCAGATTGTTTATAATCAGCTTATATACGGTTGATCGGTGACAGTTTTTGACATCAGCTCGACCGCTAAACGGTGCGGATTTAACATTATTTAATCCAAATATTTAAATAAGATATTATCAGAGACCAATTTAAGAGTAGGTTAGTACCAGGGAAATTGTCAGAGACTTGGACATTGATTGGACTGAATTTATTGTTATAAATTGCTTGTTTTTCTTGTATCAAAGTTTCTCTCTATCTATGCAAAACAGTGCGAGAGTTGATGAAAGGTTGATTCTCACTATACCTTCCGTTTCCATTCCATATCCATTTCATATCCGTTCCGTATTTTTTATTGTATTGACGCTATACGTAAGCTTCCGCTCCGTATCAGTTCCATACTTTTTATTGTACAATTTATATCATTGCTTATAAACCTGCTTAAGATGGTTGCTTGTAGATGCAAGAAAGGCTGCATAGGATCCTGCACTTGCAGAAAAGCAGGACTGAAGTGTTCCATCCTCTGTTCCTTTTGCCAAGGGCGAAGCTGCAGCAACGTTGCTCCCATCATCTTGTATGAGGAGGACGAGGAATTGGACGATTTAACATATGAGGACCCACCTCTATCGTCAGAGAATGTCCTTACTCCTCCTCCTCCTCCCTCTCCGACTGATCCGGAAGGGATGGGGCCCGGTCCTTCTAAGAGGGTCAAGTAAAGTAGGCCTCTTGTATTATATTTTATGGTTTATACATATTATATTTATGCTGTTTATTTTTAATTACGTTTAATAAAATATGTTTTCATGATACCCCCGATACCCAACCAAACTTCCATGTTTTACTATATTTTGGTTTTTGAGTAAAATACGACGCCTAGCCGCCTCATTCTTACATCAAATTAAAGCTGAATAAATTCTCTACAACTCTATTTCTCATGACTTTTCTCTAGAGCTATTAGTTTAGCCGATACGTGCTTTGGAATGTGACCGTACTCAAAAATTTTTAGTGTTTTAAAAAAATTCCCGATATTTAATTGGCTGTATTTGAACAACGAATTGGCCTAGAGGGTTCGGGTTGGGCTTAAATTGTAGAAAATTTAGTTGATTTTATAAAAGTATAGAACAATTAAATTTGAAAAATGCTTTCTTAACATAGTTTTTTCCAAAAAATTGGCATAACTTAGTCTCATGGGTCCTAACTATATATAAAAAAAATCGTATATGCAGTCCCGTTTGCAATGTGGGATGTCTTAAATGACTGGCCTATTGTATCTTTTGAAAAAGGTAATAAATTTAATTAAGAGGTGATAGAATAAATAAATATCAGCAAAATTTTAACAGAGCTGGTACAAATGTAAGAACTTGACAACACCGTTTCCGATACGCTTCAGTCCGTCCGCCAAAGAATTGTATGGAAGGAAAGGATATATACAATCTTCTTAGTGAAACACCCTGTACAAATTCACCGCCTAGTCGTTCTACTCATTGCCATAGACCCTGTTCTCCAGCGTTCATTTATTAAATGAATTAATGCTCGAAAGAGGAATGGGTAATAAACGCTATTAAATATTTCGCTATACGGACTTTGGCTGTTGGCAGCACCGTCTGCTGTTATTGATGAATGTTGGTAGCGCTGTAGAACCGGTGCCCCGCTGGCTGTATTACCCTCGCTACGGGCGGCGAGCCTCAGCTCAGCTCCAAACCGTTGCCAACAACTTAAAACGAATGTCCCTTCTCAATCTCCGCTTTTTTAAGTTTCTTTTTTCAAATCTTATATTACATTACATTACTGGAAAAGTCGTAGTAGTAAAAAAAGAATAGCGAAATAAAACACAAATTCACCACACTGAAAAAAAAGGATCTCTCAGTCGAAATGAATATGACTTTGACCCAAAAGATTGGCGCTTTTCAATAGGGCCAAGAACGACGTTTCTTAGCCCAAAGCATTAGCTATCTTTTCATACGCTTTAAAAAATTACTTTAGAGAATAGAAGAATCTATCTGTCCAAAGTATTTCACTGTTGACCCAAAATTAATATGCAAAGAAGTTCTTGCTATAAGAACAATAGTCTCTTTGATTCATGCAAAAATTCTTGATTGAAAAGGGACATTTCTTGATTAAAGAGACACTTTTCTTAAACCAATAGCGAATACCATTGTCTCAACTAAAATTTATTTTGATCTAAGAGAAGTCTATACATCATATACAGGCATATTACGAGGTATATTATTTTCTGATAAATTTAGGTTTTCCTGGTCTGTAGTAAGTAAAGTGATATTATTTTCCTCGATAGTAGTTATTTCTGCTTCTTCACTTCTTGGTATTTTTTGGGGTGGTTCATCACTCTACAAACTACAAAAAAATGTTACATCACGATTAATCAAAGTAAAGCAAACAAATTATTAAAATTATAAGTTTTGGTCACATTTTGAATTTTTTAATACGACGACTTGAAATTCTAAAATTTTTGTAATTATTTGCAGAAAAAAATCGATACCTATATTCTTATTCTATCTATAGTCACGCATGCATTATCTAAACAGGTGCATTAGGTAAATGTCTCTTACCTTCAAATATAGCAAATAAATGCTCTAATTTCCATTTTTTCAGAATCCATACCTATATCCTAAAATTTCTCCATAAAAAATGACAAATGCATGTTAATAACGATCACTAATTTGTTATACAACATGCGTTTAAAAAGCAAATTATGCAAAATTCCAAGTGGAAAATTCCAAGCAACAAAACCCGTGCTTACTATGATGTGCCTATGCGACGTGCGACTGATCGGACTGCCGACTGATTGTATATACCGTCCTTCGTCATCGTCTTTGCGTGTCGTTATTACTTTTCATCAAAAGAGTATTTAGTTATTGGAAAAATGGCCATGTTTCTTGAATGAAGTACTTCCCAGCGTATTTTTGTTATTATCTTAAAACAAAGTAACTTGCACTTGGTTGAATGAAAATAGATTCAAGAGAAATTTTCGAATTTATCAAGAGAACAAGTTTTCTTGAGTTAAGAGAGTTTTTCTTCAGACAAAATATTTTCTTTTACGCTAAAATAAATTCTCTTGCCACTAATTTTTTTTTTCATGAACGATGACGACTTTAGTTCAAGTCTATGTTTTTTATCAGTGCACGAAACACCAAAACAATATACTTTTAAACACTAGACGCGCGTTTTGTTAGTAATTTAGCATCATAATTTTTTTATCCTTTACTCCTACGTGGAGCATATAGGGCTTCATTAAATGCTTTCCAGCGGTTTCGGTTTTTTGAAATTGATATCTCGTCATGATAGGTTGGTTTGAATATTTTATGAGAATGTTTCACTTTAGGTCCCTAAAATTAAGAAATACCTTATAAAACGAAGGAGATATTCTGAATTGAGTGAGGAAAAATGCATTTTTTTATAAATTTTTTGTATTATTCGCTCCAATTGATTTATGATATATTTTTTTAATCTCTGATTTGAGTTTCTTTTCTATTCTATCTGCAATAAAACTTACCTACATGTTTGTAAATGTCCAGATCTCCAAATACTGCTGAGTATTCCAAATGTTACTCCGACCTTGTTTATTTTGTTAATAATATCTTACTCTGTGCCTCCGTTGGTTAAAATTACAGGGTGGCCATTCGAAAACGTTCCGCAAGGCATAACGGCCAGGGTAATTTTTTTTCCAAAAATTCTTTTTTTAAAAAATTCTTTTTTTATAAAAAATTATTTTTTTAAAAAAGAATTTTCGGAAGAAAAAACTTTTTCCCCAAAAATGATTGCAACATTTTTTTCAAATGGGAAGGGGTGTCAAGTGGTACCGCAATGAAAAGGGCTTTCTATTATCTATACTTTCCCGCTTCGTTTTTGAAAATCGGTCGAGTCATTGAGAAAATATGAAGGATTGAAATTTGAAAAGTTTATTTATACAGAGTAAATGATGAGAATAAATTCCTTCGACCAATTTGCTGTTTTTTGTTATTATTTCTAGATGTTTTCGCATTTTTTTACTTGCCACAAGGTTGAACGATCAGATGATAGCTGTTCTGTGATTTGTGCGTTGAAGTCCTCAATACCGTTAAACTTTTTAACAATTATGGTGTACCCACTTGCAGAAAAAGTAGAAATAATCGAACTTTATTTTAAAAATAATGAATGTGGC